CCAGCGCCCTGCGAGCATGCAGATGCTTTCCGTTACAACTCAGTTTGCAGTTTCTTTTTCAGGCTTCTAGCTGGAAATGCTCCACCAGGTGCTTGCCTCCTGTTGAAGTGTGTTTTGGGAAATATCGGAGAAAAAAGAAACCCAGCACTATAGTATTTCTGAACAAAAAACTAAGGAAAAATACGTTGTTTTGTTGATGGTTCAAAAACCCCTGCAGCTGTTTCAGCAGGCAGGAGCCATACGATACGAGGCGCTCCTCATCATGCTGCCGGGATGCGGCCAGGCTCTGGTCTTTGGAAGAAGCACCCACTCACATGCACGCCTGGGCTGCTCATGGCATTTGAGCACACAGCTGCCGAGATGGTTGCTGCAGAGACAGGGGCTCTGCATGCACGGCTGCCAAGATGTTTGCTGCAGGGATATGGGCTCTCTCTGCTTGCAACTCCCCCTGCTGCTACAGCCAGCATCCTTGCAAGTGAGCGCGCTGCAGCACGGGCTACCAGCATACCTGCCAGCGCTTCATGCCTCCCCTTCCTTCGGGACAAGCAGAAAGCAGCTTCCAGCAGCAAGACCTAAAACTGAGCAGGGTGGGGAAAGCCTGAGATACACGGAGGGCTTGGTTGGGTCAATGTACCCAGAAAGAAAAAGAGCAGTTGTTGTTTTCTGGCTGATCATGGGTAAAAGTTGCTGGGAACATGGGGATTTGGGGGGTTTCAAGGGCATCCAGCACCCTGGGTAGACAGGAGGGAGCACCCTGCACCCGTACACAGCCCCTGCAAACAGCAGCACACGCACTGCAGAGCTATGCCTGGAGCTGCCTGGGGGTGAACTCCAAAAACATGGGGGTTAAGAGGGGTACACGAAGCTGCTGGCATGGAGGCTGCAACATCTGCTGCTGCAACAGCTGTGCAGGTGGCCGCGGCAGCCTGCGGCGGGGGATGTCCGCTGGTGCACCCAGCCAGCCCCAGGTCCAGCCACACTGGCAGAGCCCAGGCCTCAGGGCAGGAGCCTGCTCCATGCCACTGCCGCAGCATCGTGCATGGGCTGGATGGGCAGCCCGGTGCCGGGACCGCATCTCCCCTCCTCCCCAAAACACGGGGAGCCCAGCCACTGCCTGCACAAGCACTGCTCTTAAATACCAGCAGCCCTGGCCCCATGCGCCAGCCGCGCTCCCTGCTCCTCCAGGCGTTTTTCAGGCATGTGGGTCTCAGCTAGAGAAAAAGGCAGTAGGCTAACATCTCTGGAAAGCTTAAACTTCACCCCTTTGGCTTGAGGGGCTTGCCAGAAGCAGTGGGAACAAACCCCAGTCAAAAAGGAGATGCTGCCTCACAGCTGCAAGGTACAGGGAAGCCCAGAGACGCTCGTCGTCCTGCAGAGCCCGAATGAGCTCAGGAGAAACTGCCCCTAATTTGAGGAAGTGAAAGCCTGCAGGGTGCACGTCCCCCAAAAACAGATCCCAGGGCAGGGACAGGCTCTTCCAGAGCTGCAACCACTATCTGCGGGCAGCTGGGGATGCTTCAGGGCCCCCGCTCCCCCCCCACCCATCCCAGACAGCCACAGCTCCCCTGGTCCCAGGCTGGGGAGGTTCGGCCTCACTGGGTGCCGCTGGTCTCATCTCCTTTCCCCAGCGCTGGCCCTGGCTCCAGCCAGGGTGTGCAGCTGGAGGGGGCTGAGAGCAGGCACTAACCCCCACTTTGAGACCCGGGCAGGGAAGCAGAGCCCAGGGAGAGAGCTGCCCAGTAACTCCAGGAGAGAGACGGGAGCAAGAACAGTTACGATTTAATCCCCACCTTTCTCTGCAAATCCAGTGTACGACAGAGCAGAGCTGTGGTTCAGCTCCTGTGGGGCCACAACCCCTGCCCACAGCACAGACTGGTCCAGGGTGGGAGCTGGGGACCTGGGCAGGAACAGCCCAGGGAGGGGGCCGGGCAGCTCCCCTCGCCGCCCCTGCCCTGGTGGATGTGTGCCCGAGGACAGACAGCCTCACGCAGCTTTTGGCGCTGCTGAGAGGGGTGGGATGCGGGGAGAGCCTGGTCCTGCCCAGGACCTGCCCAGCTCTGGTCTGCACAGCCAGGCATGGCTGCCCTGGGACAGGCGGCAGGGACAGAGCCAGCCTCTGCCCAGTGACCCTTCACAGGCCACTGTGGCCTCTGTGGAGTTGGAAGAGACCAAGTCACAGCCGTGGCAGAGGCTGGGGGGGCCTTTTCCGGC